CTCCCATGTGCAGCTCAGTGGTTCTGTTGGGGCGATAAGTTCTTCATCTGTGAACATACTCTCAAAGGATGTCAAGTGTCCATGACTATTTATCATATCACAACCTGCATAGTGTATTTGCATTTCAATACCCCTACTTTTTTTGAAGAGTATATTTGTGGAGTTGCCATACCGCCTTGAGTTTTTTAAGTTCATTTGCTGACCTTCGGGATAGTTCCGGGATAATACAAATTATGGAGAGAATCTACCGAGAAAAGGCAGTTGGGCACATTTTGAGCGGGGACACGTATGTTAGGGCATCTCATTGACATTTTCTCATGAACTCCAAGTACTCAGTAAGGTATACAATTTGCCAGAATCACCAAGAGACGTATGCCAAGGCAACGCGTTGATATTTTCTTCTGAACTCCGTGTTACGTGCGCTGGTACTCGGGTTTACAATTTGCCATTATCATCACCAAGAGAAAATTATGACAAGATATATAGAGAATAATATTCAAGAAATACATGAATTGTTTGACATGCTGATACAAGGTGAAGTTTCCGTTGACGACGCTTTATCAAGAGGTGTTATTGATAGAGTAGGCCTACTTGGGAATTTATTAAATCTTTCAAACGTCATTTGGCTATGTTTTTCTGTTTCTTTGGTACAACTTTTCTATTTACCCATAATACATGTACGGGAAGTAAACTCAAACATTCGAGAGATATTGGAGTTTTAAGGTTTTTTTGGAAGAATTTCGCCTTCAGGACCCGTCTACTAAATTCCGTCGAGGAAAGTTTGGTTGCAATTTATTCTCTGTTATTTATTATCTTTACCGGACTATTCTGAAGACAGAGTGTTTTGGTATTAATCGTCCTCCGTTATTATGTCTGAGATAGTCCCCCGTCCCTAGGTCATTACTAGAAAGTGTTTTTGGTTCGCTTTCAATTTATTTCGCGCAACAATCTCGTATGCTGTTATGACCACTTAGGGTTTATATAAATATACGTAAATGTGAAATAGGATGGATTCAGCAAACATAAACTTAACCAATGACGTCACACATTATTAAAACAGTATACACATAGTAATCGGTATTTGTAATTGTGTTTTCCAATAGGATTTAATCTTTGAAAACATGTAATAAACAATATATACTATCCAAGCAGTGTATATAGTTAAAGGCAATATTTCATTTATACAGCGCCTGGAGTGGAATGAAATAGACTTTTACGTCCGATTGCTCTGTCCCGGCTAATGAACATTGACATACCTCATACAGTCTACGATGAGGGAAATTTTGCCCAGACAACGGCATACACTTACATCGAATGTCAACTGCCATGGTAGTTCCTTTAGTAACTGTCTGATCGGACTATGTCCGCTGACAGTTCCTACCGCTTGCTATACAGATGCAATATGAAAATACCACTCATCCCCACCTATGGTCTAAGGCTATTTTTGAATCATTACCGACTATTTTTCACCCTGATTCATCTTTGCTTGCCAAAGGAACCATTTCTTGCCACAGCTGACACACATTTATACTAATTCAACTCTATTTTCAAGCAGACTTTTGCGATAAAAAAAACATACACAAAATACGTTTGAACTGATCAGACATTACGAGACTCGAACATGCGCAGACCGCATGTTTATTTAATCGCTAAATTCTACTTGAAAATAGTGTTGAATTATTATAAATTTCTGTCCGATATGACGAGAAATGATTTCTTTTGCGAAAAATAAACATTCACGGTGAAAAATAGAAGGTAAGCGTTTTACCGTATTTTCATATTGCAGCTATATAGCAAGCGGTAGGAACTGTCAGCGGATATAGTTCGCTCAGAGACAGTTCCCTAAGGAACTACTGCCATGGGTTCTCTTTGGTGCACGCCAATGTTTTTCGTACCATTCCAACGACTATACTTTGTTCCAGGCCGCCTGTATTGCACCCTTACGAGAAATCTAAGATACCACTGTTTCTTTTAAACTGTTAACGCCGGACTCGACATCAGAGATTCTTAAGTGCGATGGGGGTTAGCTACAATCATTACATTCAATGCAGCTTTGTGTAAGTAAAAATAGCTTCAAACGAATAATTTTCAACACACGTCATCATCATAATTTGTATTGAAATAAATGCTTCTAACATAGACAATGAAGTAGGAACCATAGAGATAGTCACCGAATAGTATCTATTTGTGGTAATGCATTTTACATTTCCGAAGCGACGTTGTCCATGTAAAGTCTCGTGTAGCCCAGGGACTTTAGCAAAATCACCAAATTATCTGATAAACTTTCACCTTAATTTCGATGTGGATCAGTTAATTATATGTGTGTAGTATCCTTTGCAGCCAGAATAATTGGAAATTAAGGGAGTTATAGGACTATAACCTGTTTGTAATCAATTGATTACAAAATTCACTCAAGGGCAATCCTTAGAACCATCAACTACTGTGGCTGTTTCAAAGTCGTAAGTTATTAGTAGTGGAGCATTTCTAAGATGGGATGAGCACTTTTGTATCCTAGACGAAATAAGCACACAAACTCTTATGCGCACATAGCCAACGGTCACCAACATTTGAATACAAGCGGAATCCTGCCAGGGACTTCGATTGTGGATTTGGACTTTTTTTTAAATAAGGTTTATCCCGAGTGTTCGAAATATTTATAATATTATTATCGCTACGAAGATGACGGATGTAACGGCGGATTAGTTGTTTGAAAGAGCGGGCGTCAAGTTCAGTTTAATCGATCAATATGAGGATTTAACCTGTGTGGCTATGTACATTGGTTTATGTGTATTTGTCTTCTACCAGACATGACCTTCAATCTACGTCATAGAGAGCAAGGTTATTTGGCACAAGGTGGATTAAACAAACATACACAGTACCACTGACGTCATGTCTATTGCAGGGCCGGCGGAAGCAATTCTTGATTGGAGGGTGGGGGGGGTATCATCGGAAGACTTTAGGCAATAGTCCAGGGGCCGCCATCTAGATTGTCTCGGACACTTTCTGTGTGATTTCTTGCTAATGAAATTACTCTGCAATGAAGTGAAGTTTTAATGCTTTTCTAAATCCCTTACCATGTTAACACAGTCGATGATAGTTTCCTACGATGCTGACAAAAATATGCATAATAATACAAGGGTTGTTGACACCGTAGAGGTCCGCATTATTTATCCGATTTTGATGAAACTTACAATGTATGTCCATAACTCGAAGAGCTCGGCTCCTGTCGATATTGACGTATATCAGACCGTAACTTCCTGGATTATGTCCCTAGCTGATTGTACTAAAAATCATAATTTTAGCTTGTGCCCCCCCCCCCCCCCCAGGAGCTACAAGTGTTTTCCCATTCAGATGAAACTTAACAAATGTGTTAAGGATCAAATGATCTTGAATTAGATGATGGGCCATATTGTTTTTACCTTAATTCTTGCAAAATCTGGTGTATCTTGCATGGCAACCGCTTGTTTAAACTGGTCATAACTGACAGTTATCTAATCGCGAATCGCAGTGATCAGTATAGAGCATAGCAGAGATGTTTTTTCTTCTGAAAGTCTACGTTCTAGAAGTCTCACTTCCATGTTAAAATCAGGCCACTTCCAGTTACATCATTGTATCTAACCGAATAGTTACTTGCGTGCAAGAACCTGGAGAAAGGAATACTTGCAGCCAATCAATGTAATGCAATGCAAGAGTTCAATCATACATTGTCCGAACCCCAATTGGATGAATTTTTAGAATGCATTGTACTAACATAAGGATGTTATGGGCGAGGCAGTTGCTTTGAAAAGCGGGTGTTAAGATATGTTTGATCGATCAATATGGGAACTGAGAGGGTACGGTTAAGTACATTGGTTTAAGTGTATTTACAACTAAGTCAGTCTACCGGACTTGACCTTCAATCTACGTCATGGAAAGCAAGGTTATTTGGCAGAAGGTGGATTAAACAAACATACACATTGGCATTGACGTCATGTCTATTGATTGGACCAGTAAAAATATTTAAATAGAGTTTGCCCGGTTCCCATAATTTAGTTTGTCCAATCAGGTTTGATCTTTTGAAAAAAAAACAACCCCACTAAATACGAACTATTCGAGCAATACAGTAATTCCTTTTTAAGGGCGCCCGAAATTTAACTCGATGACCTCCTTCCAGTGGCAGTTTATCATCAATTTGGGCCGTTATTATCTTTGCCCTTCCAACCGATTAAGCACTTTAATGATAACATGATGACCATAACGTCCGAGAAGTAGCCGAAAAATTCATTATTAATTGTCCATTGGTGATAGGATCGGAAAGAAAACATTATCTGAAATTTTTAACGCGCCCATCGAACCGGTTTCGTCCTAAACAAATGAATAAACATAATCCAGGCAAAAGACCTAAACATTTCTATGAAATCCATTAGACGAAACATAAAAATGAAATGTAATTTTAAGCATCATGGCATTAGGGGTCTTGCACAATGAACACAATCAGATTAAAAGTTAAAAGAGGTGTATGTATGCAGAAAATCTTAACACGGGCTGTAGCCATCGAAATCTGTGTAATATCATATCTTTCTAGTAGATAATTCATAAATAAAGACGGGCAACATCTTCATAATTATCATTTCGTCACATGTAAGATTATAAGCCAAAATAGGTGTAGAAATTTAAATATTCCTAGTCCTCGAATAAATGAGTTTTATCAATCGTCTTAAGTATGATAACCATTTTTTAACCCATTTCTGGTAGATAATAATAAAATAAATGGTCCAGGCGGGATAGCACCCCAAATGTTATAAATTGGTCATATGCTATAATGTAGTAGGTGCCAATGTAACATTAATGTCCGTTAAATTGCTTTTCTGATCTCACGCACATGTAAAAATGTACAAAAGCTACCCATATAATAATAATATCATTGTTCTAATGATTGTCATATCCACGATTTCGATGCTAAAAACATAAAGACAAGACATATGAAAACGTTTCACAAGAAATAATTCTATAGACCTTACCGGTAAACTCTGTATTAGCTCTGGTACCTCACTCAACACAGTGCATTTAACTTGTCCACGAACACTAAAAGTCATATCTCGTATCAACTGAATATTTCCATGCATAAAACTTCTCAGATGTAACACAACGTCGTCTTCACATTGTAGTGGACTTGAAGACAAATGTTTTCACAAAGATGGATAAAACTGATATGGTCATAAGGCAACAATGACAAAGACATGTATCTCAAGTCACGTGCATTAAACAACCAACTGTGGCCAATAGAATTGTGTGACCTTGAGCGATCAAACAAATACAACAGAGAACTGAAACAGACCCAAAATCATTTGGCTAGATACCAGAGCTTAATCCAGAACATTCTAGTTGTCTTGGTACATGTCACCTATGTTTACTTGTACAAATAATGTATACTATTGATTTGCATTTCTTGTAACAACGTCGATTATATTGCAGAGTCGGAATATTTACACCTGACACCGCCATTTTAAACACGGATTGTCGCTAAAACACAATCAAAGAAGTAAATGCTATTGAATATTGTGTTGGACCAATCTTGGACCAACCCAAACATGAGAGACCAGATTAACGTGGATTTAAATAAAACATCGTGTTCTTTTCCATTTCCTTTCAATCCCTTATAAGTTTCATTTCAGTTAATAGTTATTTCATGTGGCACTTTGTCTTCAATATGTACACCTGGAAAAAAGTTAACCCCTGCCATGTCCGAGACACCCAAATCTAGGGATAAAAAGTCTGTGATCAGCAGACTGGAACCGGTACCAACAAACACACAAAGTTACAGGAATTCGAGTTACACCCCAAACGATTAGAAATCGGCTACATCCCAAACGATTAGAAATCGGCTACATGCAGCCCATTTGCATGTGCGGCGACCGCGTGTTGTGCCTCCATTAACTAGCCAGCACATGACGAACAGGCGTCAATTGTGTAGGCAGCGTAGAAATTGGGGTAATGTTCTCAGGTGAGTCAAGATTTACTCTGGATTTCACCGATAGGCGTGCTCGCGTTTGGAGGCGTGCAAATGAGCGTCATGCTGACGTTAACGTCAGACAGCATGACAGATTCGGGCGTGGGTCTGCGATGGTGTCGGGAGGAATCACCATAACTGGCAGAACGGACTTGAATATTGTTCAAGGAAGGGTCACTGGTGTGTACTACCGTGACAACATCCTGGCACCGATAGTTCTGCCCTTTGCTCAACGTGCAGGTCGACGTTTCATCTTTCAGGATGATAATGCCCGTGCCCACCGCGCTCGTGTCGTGAATGACTACCTCCAGCGTCACTATATTGTCCATATGCCTTGTCCTGGCACTGGCATTATATACGTATGTCAGATTCTGATTGTCAGGCCAATATTGGCTTATAAGTAAAGGTCTTGCTAATTATGATGTCCAACAAGTGAAAAGCAATATTCAATTTAATATTGTCTCCCCAGACTTTCTTAAGGAATCGTTTTTGTTTGATCATCTACTCCAGTGGTTTTGCCCTTTCCTACAAACGCGTGGAAGAGTTATTCATGTCATCTTGAGCCGCAGAGACAAATAAACCTGCCATTTGGATGTATTCCCACATTTTGCGACACTCTTTCCACCTTGTATAAAAAGTGTTTCTTTCACTTATAGACGATAATTTAACTTTTATAATACATTATAAAATGTCAGATAGATGGCCAGGTTGTGGTATTAATGACAGGTGACCAACTAGGAGATTGGAACAGGAGATATATAACATTGCGCCAGTTTTATTCTTCAGAATCTCTGAGCCTTGATAAACCAAATCATGTTTTCCAAAGTAGACGATCAGAACTTACAGATGCTTAAAAGCAGAGAACCTCGGCTGTTCTACTACTGAAAATACAGACGGGCCCAGCAATCTACTGGATGATGGTGATAAATTACCAGTGATAAAGTTGAAGTTTTGACGAGTTCGAATCAACCGACACTGTACCAGTTGATGTAAGCCTACCAAGAGTCCCTATTGTGATTCCAACTTCACTAAGCAGAGATGTTTTATATGTAATTATCCAGCAATATAATTAACTACAATCAATAAAATAATTAATACGTGTAAGAAGCAAAATATTTTGGAATTCGTGGAAATTCTGAGGTTCGTAAACCCATAAAGGGAAGAAAAAGGATATCGAGAAAGAATGTACAAATATCTTTCAATCAGACTGCTGGAGACATTTAATTGCTGTCCTACGTCGCAGGGACCGTCCTATGATCCTGGCGCTTGATTTGCATTAGGATCTGGGGGTCCGAGGCCGATGTCTAACTTGTAGAACTATTGTATTTTTCCAACTCGTTTCCCCTTTGCGAGTGTTCAAGCAGCGGACCTTGTTAAGAAAAGCACATAGCTTTTCGGGGTCGTGTGTTGTCGAAGCGCACGTAAAGGATACCTTGGCAAAATTTCCAACATTGCACGCCGATTGCCATATGTATGGAAGGGTATCGCTGCCAATATCAAATGCTCTGCGACAATGTCGTTTCCATTGATTATATGTAAAAAGTACAATGTACAAAGTCCCAATACCGATATTGATAAAGTCAAAATACCTCTAAGGCAAGAAGTAAATGTAAAACGTCAAATGTTAAGTGTTAAATGACAAATGTTTTGTGGGAAAATGCTTTTTGTTTGACGGGTCTACATTTTACATTTCTCTCATTACATTTTACATTTGCGCTCTGACGCATCCCATTTGTCCGTCACGCTTTCTACATAGCAACTTTCGCACAGCATCAACTTGTATTTGCAAATGTAGGATATCACGTGACTTATTAACATACATGGAAACCCGGCACAAGCACACTTTAAGGATATTCACCGCACGACAAAAAAAAATCAAGCTGGCACACCATTAGAAACTATCGTGCGTAATTTTGAATGTGCCAGGAAATAATTGATAGATTCAAGCAGCCAAAGAAACATACTTTCCAGTAATTTATAACACAATAACTGGAATTTCCAGTAGAATGCGTGAAGGACAAATGGGATGTGGTAGAGAGCAAATGTAAAATGTAATTAGAGAAATGTAAAAAAGCATTTTCCACAAAACATTTGTCATTTAACACTGAACATTTGACGTTTTACATTTAACTCTTGCCTTAGAGGAATTTTGACTTTATCATTACCGGTATTATGAATTTGTACATTGTACTTTTTACATATAATCAATAAAAAAAGACATTGTAGCAGAGCATTTAATATTGGCAGCGATACCCTTCCATACATATGTGGTTCTCTCTAATTAGATGTACAATAATGTGCAGAAAAATGGGACGTGCAGCTCCAGAAGTGTTTAACTGCTAATTTACTAAGCAGCAAAAGAAACGTCAAGTCGGTATGCTACTCTAAATAGACGCATTGCATAAAGAGAGAGAAGAGATATGGGGTTTAACGTCCACTCGACACAAACTAGGTCATTTCGGGACTAACATATGGTTTAATTTTATTTCAATAATTCGCTTGCGCATAGGGGTCTTTAGCAGTGGGAGGACCCGGAGAAAACCCACGAGGTTGGACAGGCGACCCTACTCCTTGTCACGTGCATTGCATAAAACTTGCTAAATGTTTTTATTGTATATTTGTGACCACATCTCCAACTTCACCTGTGCAATAAGGCTCCTTCCCAAACACAGAATTGAACCCAGGAAATGTTCTCAAAAGCGCAACCTGACTTCTGAGATGGTTGATTTTCATGCTGCGCGCGCTGTTCACCGGGACTAGCCCCTTAAAACGCACCCCTATACCTGGTTGAATCATTCACACTACAATGTCAGCAGCATGCCACGACAGCTCAGAGGAACCAGGCGCTTGGAAGACTCGACGCTGGCCACAATGCCCAAGCCGTTGCCAATCACTTCCAGGTCAATGTTCAGACCATCTACAGGCTTCAGCAACGATTTCGGGCCACCAACACCACGGATGATCGCCCCCAATTAGGTAGACCAAGTGTTAATACAAGGCGACAAGACCGCCATGCTGTGCAACAGCACGTACAGAATCCCTTCTCAGAGGCATCTGAGACAGCACGTCAGACAGTTGGAACACACAGAAGACCCATCTGTACCGATACAGTGCGCCGACGTCTCACCAGAGAGAACATTCATTGCCGTAGACCTTACCGTGGACATTTCGTTTTAACATTTTATATATCCAGCTGATTACATATGGTACAATGTATAATAGATTACAATAAAGCCATTCTCTCAAACCCCATCCAGCCAGATTCGCTGAGGCGCGTCTGCTGATAGAGTTTGCTATATCTCCACCATCCTAGATTCCAGCTGCTGTCTGACAAATGCCCAAAATATGATCTTGTAGCTTTGGGTTTTGGACCTTCAATTTTCTAATTGGCCAAATACGACGTAATTATTTATAACGACTGCTTGGAAACTTACAGTAAAATTTTCACACGTGATGTCTGTTATTAACCTAGAATTGAATGTTTACAAATTATAACTCTTTATGTGTCAACCCCTCCCTCATTTTGATGTAAGTGCATATGTGAATCTAATGATTAGCCAAAGATATTAATTAATACAATATAATGCTATCATTAATTTAAAGAGCAAAAATTGTAAAAATCTTGCTATTATTCAAACGAATTCTATGAATTAAATACGGTTGGTTCGCAATTAATGTAATAATATTTTTCTGAAGACATCGACATAAATTGGTGTCAAATTGCTATTTATAAAATGGTCGGCGGATTATTGTTCGTGGAATTTTATAATAGGCGAAGAATCTTAAAGACACAAATACAAGGATCACTGGTAGGCCTTATATATAGGTATAGCCTAGTATCCATTAGTAGATCTAGTGTATTGTAAACCTTACTTTACATCTAATACTTAATCGGGCTAAATTGTTTTATGAAAAGGCATATGGAAAATAATTTTAATTATTAAATCCTAACAATATATTGGTTTCTTAAAACATCCATATTGTTCAATTCATTCCAACTGTACATCCCTATGTACGCATACATGTACCTAATCCGACAAGAACTGAAGGTCATATTTTCATTAATTAAGATAGCACGGTCTGGAAATTGGCGACAGGTTGTCCAGGCCTGTAAAAAGTAGCACCTCGCATGCGAATGACCCAAAAAGATGCAGAATAATTTACAGAATAAGGCATGCCATGTCCTGATTTATTATC